TATTTGACCATGAACCTTAAGTACTTATTGTGCGAACTGCACTTGGAGGAGACAGAGTATAAGAAGACATGATGATCCCTACCCCGGGAGAGCCCAGTGTATAATGGGAAAGATAAAGCCTCAATAAATGTAATACACGGTAGAACTGATAGGTCACAAGGAAAGTGAGATAAAGGGCCTTGGGAAGAAGAAAGAACTGTATCAGCTTTGGGGTGGGTGCAGAAAAAGAGAAAATAGGGAAGGCTTCATGAAACATGTTAATTTGGAACATCTGGGGCTTGTGAGAGGTGGGACAAGGAATACTTTTCATATGAAGTGTTCAAGGATGACCTCACTGAGAAGTCAACATTTGAGCAATAACTCAAATATAGGGAATAAATCATGTGGCTATCTGGGGGAAGAATGCTCCAAATAGAGGGCAAAAGTTCTGAGGTTAAGTGTGCTTGGTGTTTTTGCCAAACAGGAGGCCATGTGGCTGGAGCAGATTGACAGGGAGAGGAAGAGAGAATAGGAGTATATATGAGGACAGAGAAGTAATGAGGGTCTAGATGAGCGGTCGCCAACTGGTGGTCCGTGGACCACTGGTGGTCTGAGAGGTCCAAAAGGTTGGCAACCACTAGTTTAGATCATATAGGAACTAGTTGGCAATTGTTAGGAGTTTTACTTTTACTCACAATGGTATGGGAAGATATCTGAGCATTTTGAGTAGAGGAGTGACATGATCTGACTTACCTAATGGTGAGTTTGGTCTAGGATGGTAGGAATATTTATGAAGAGAAGTAGTCCTAATTCTAAATATATTTTGAATTAATATGGATTACAATACATTTGGAGAGTGTAAGGGTAAGTTAGGTAGAGAAAGCTCCCTGGAGGATGAAGATGAGATGACTGCATACCTTGGATTGTCCCATATCGTATAGCCTCCAGGTAAAGGGGAAGTTAGTTTGGTCTACAGCAAGGGTTCCCAACTGGTAGCCCATCAGCTAAATCTTATTAATAGTTTTGTTTGATCACAGTGTTTTAAACCTTTAAAATTTAGTTGTCAACACTTAAAAATTCAGAAATAGATTCCAGGCCTCTTAAAAACTGAAAAAAAAGGGCAAATTTGAGCTTTTATTCCTGAAGTGCAACAGTTAATAGGAACTAAGTTTATGTACTTAGATGTCTCCTTTTCCCAGAACATGTACTAGTATTCTCCAGTTTTCCAGTCCCCGCCCCTTCCTTCCCCGCTCCTCTCAAAAAATTTAGACGGTGTCATTGCACATGCACTGCTGTTTTCCTATAGAAGAGTTAAGAGGAGCCCTGGCAGGTGTGGCTCAGTTCGTTGGGCATCAATCCATTCCCAGTCAGGGCATATGCCCCGGTTGCAGGCTCAATCCCCAGTAGGGGGAGTGCAGGAGGCAGCCAATGTTTCTCTCTTCTCCCTTCCTCTCTAAAAATCAATAAATTATTCTTTTAAAAAAATGAATGAAAGAATGAAAAGGAAAGTTAACTATTTCTTGTTGCTATCAAAATTTTTCTTTTATATGGTCCACTTCACTCATTTATGTTACCTGCCTGGATCCTGTTGATTTTTGAGTTTGCAACTCCCAATGTAGAGGAAAGAGGACTGGACCCTGAGTCCTGGTACCTATTCTGCCTCAGTCTACCATGTGACCTTAAGCACAAAAAGTGGCCTCTTGGATCTCTTTCGAGCTAGGAGACTAAATTGGATATTCTTTGAAAAATTCTAACATCCTAGAGGGCTTGAGGTATTGCAGTATGCCAGTACTCTGTACCCTCCCCCTCCCAAACAGCCAGGGGGCCCAGCCCAGTATGTATGTCAGAGAAAGAAGACACTGGAAGGAGTAAGGTGCCTATATTAATAATGTATAACTTGAGCCCAGAGCCAGGGAGACGAATGTACACTGTGGTGTGTGTGTGTGTGTGTGTGTGTCTGTGTGTGTGTGTGTAATTAGAAATGGGCTCAAATAAGCTATTCTTGTATAGGTTTGTGCTTATCTATTCCTGTGTACTTTCTATGTACCAGGCTCTATTTTAGGTGCGGGTTAGCAATGAACAAGACAGACAATGTCTCTGTTGTAATGGAGTTTATATTCTAGTGAAAGACACAGATAATATTCAAGTAAATAAAATACATGAGATAATTTCAAATAATGGGAAGTTTCATGAAAAAAATAAAACAATGATTTGATAGAGAGTTTCTGGAGGGGCAAGCTGTGCACATAGGTGGGTGTATAAATGTGGTACGTGTACTTGCAGAAGGACCCATGTTTGACTCCTGGATCCATATATTTATGCTTATTTGTGCCTATGTATGTAAATGGGCAGATTCTATGCCTATAATATTTTGTATGTTATATGTAATATTATGCATTTCAGTGTACACAGGTGAGCTGTTATATTGGTATGCATGTGGAAACATATGTGAATGGGTATGTGGTATGTTCTGCATTTAGCCTTAACTGGAGATGTTCTGAAGTTCCTATGGCACGTCAGTGGGCCAGTTAAGGAAATGGCTTTTTTGCCTTTGGCATTCAGGACCATTTGCCAGCTTCTTCTCTCCTTGTTTCTTCCCACATTAGAAAGCTCTCTCTGCCTGGCTCCTCTCGGCCCTAGGGTGGCTAAGCCACGGAAAGGATAGTAACTTACTCAGTAAGCCAGGAAGTAGAAAGAGGCTGATAATCTTCTGTGTAACCTCCAAAGGCCTGGCTTCTTTGCTAGCCCCTGTCTTTTACACTGTGAGGGGAAAGAGTCTGGACTTGAAATCAGAAGACCTGAGGATCTATTCTTGGCTCTGCCGTTTATGATTGTGTGACCTTGGCCAAGCTATTACGTCTCTCTGGGTTTCAGTTACCATCTTCATAAGTACTCTGGGTAGTGTAGTATTTAGGGAGAGCTATGCAGTGCTGGTGCCTGAAGGAGGAGGGAAGGTATTCTGAGCAGGGACAATGGTATGATCAAAAGTGTGGAGGTGGGCCTTTGTGTGTGTTTAAGGGAAGCCAAGAGAAATCCACTTAGAATAAAATTAAAACTTCTTACCATTGCCTACAAGGCCCTACATGATCTGGTGCTGTCTACTTCTCATTCTTACCCTCCTTGTTCCCTATACTTAAGCTAAACTGGCTTCCTTTCTGTTCTTTGAAATGGCCAAGCTCTTTACCACCTCAGTGCCTTTCCAAATTTCAATGTTCTCTCTGCCTGGGGTACTCTTCCCAAGAATTCATATAGTTGCCTACTTCTCATTACTTAGGTCTTAGCTCAAATATCACCTCCCCAGGGAGAGGCCTTCCTTGACCATCTTATTTAGAGTATCATCCTCTAATGTTTATCAATATTTAAAATGCACATACCCTTTGACCCAACAATTTTACTTCTAGTAATTCACCCTACAGATATATTTGCAAGTGAATAAAATAACACATGAATAAAGATATTAATTGAAGCATTTATTTGTTAAATAAATTATGGTACATACAATCAGTAGAATATTATGCAGATGACAAAGAAAATTAAACAGCACAATAAGTCTTGATGGAGAATGATATCAATGTATATTGTTTTTTAAAAAGTAAGATTATTGAGCTCTATACTTAAGATTTATTGGATTTATAGTATACTCATAAAAATAAGACACAGAATAGTGTGTACTGTATGCTATCATTGCATAGAAAACAGTGACTATATATAAACATAAATACATGTATTTATGCTTGACTGATAGGCCTGTCCTGTGGTTATAGCAGCTCTTTCCCACGTCTACCCACACTGTGCTTAGTTGGGATCTATAGGGTACTTACTTTTCTTTTGAACAGCATTAAAATTCACTTTTTTAAACTTTTAAAATTTCCATCTTCAGTGATATCCCAAGGACTTTATGAAAGATGCTAAAAGTGTAGACTTTTTCCAAAGTGATTATCTTGATCACTCCACATTAATTCAGTTTCCCTATCTATACCTTCCATCTTACAAGGAGTGGCCTTGTCTGCATATTGACTATTTCTGGAAACTTATACAACATAGGGTAACAGTGGTTGCTAGTAGGCAGGGTGATTGGGGGTGGGGGGAGGGAATTTCTCATCACATATCTTTTTATGCAGTAACATTTGTATTTATTACTTACTCGAAAAATAAAATTGAAAAAGAAAAACCACTGAGGAGGAATATTCTTATAGCTAAATATTCACATATAATCATGAAAGTTCCTTAAAATGTCTTTTAAAAAAAGTATTTCTTCTCAAGTAATGGTTATCATAATCTGAAATTATCTTGGTTATATTTGTTACTTGTGTATTTCTTCCACTATCATTGGAATATAAGCTCCATGTTGTCAGGGATCTTGCTTCTCTTGTTTATCAGTGCCTTATTTCTATACATGTATATAGTACGTAGTAGTTATTGAATAAGCAAATGAACAAATGAAGGACTATCAAAGAAAACCAGGTGAAGCCTAGGGAGGACTGGGAGGCGAGGCTGAGGAGGACAAAAATCAGCTGATAGAGACTGGTGATTCTCAAACTTTAAATTTATATCACAATCACCTAGTGATTCTTTATAACAGCTTGTAATAAAGAAGTAGATTTTTGAATCCTGTGATTCTGATTCATTAGGTTTTAGTAGGGACTCAGGAATCTACATTTTAATACATTTCCCTAGGTGACTTGGGTACAAGTGATCTGGAGACCCCACTTTACATCTGTGATATAATTTCTCCTTAATACATCCCTAGGATAGAAGATAAAGGACCATCATCTCATTTTATCAACCTAAATGAGGCTGAGAGATTAACAATACATTTTTCCAATGACACAGCTTGTGTATAAAGTATACTTTGAAAGGGCAAAGTATCTGACCAGTCAGTTTAAGGTAAAATTGTAGATGGCTCACCCTCACAGGACATTCACAGGCCTTGGTGTTACTGAATGGATTTTACATTCCTATTTTTTGTTTGCGGAAGAGATTATACTCCCTAATGACTGGTTCTTTCTGATTTATCTCAGGGAGGGCAATGAGCCAGAGGAGACTACCCAAATCACATATCATGAACTTCTGGTCCAAGTGTGCCAGTTCAGCAATGTTCTCCGAAAACAGGGTGAGTGGGAAGGTCGGGGGAAGGGACTGGAGGGTCTGGCCTTGGGGTATCTGAGGACTTGGGGGAAGTAGATAAGGATGGGAGGAATCAGGTAATGGGAATAGAAGAGGTGAACTGGGGTGGTGGTGGTAGTGGTAGCTGGATGAGAGGGAGCGAGTAGCAGCAAGAAAAATCCATGGTCCATGGTCTGTGTCCTTTTCCTGCAGGCATTCGGAAGGGTGACCGAGTGGCCATCTACATGCCCATGATACCAAAGCTTGTGGTAGCAATGCTGGCATGTGCTCGCCTTGGGGCTCTCCACTCCATTGTGGTAGGAATTTGTGCTGGAAAGGGGGGCTGGTTGGGGATGGGACTCTGGAGAAGTAGGGTGGGCCTGGATGATGGAGGATCTTAAGAACCGGACTAAGGAGTTTAAAATGTTTTTGTTATAGTTTCCATATCAGTTATCCAGTTTCTTCTAGGATCCTGACTTAGAGACTCTAAAGGTTTTATGCATGACTCCTTTCCTTGTTCACTTATCCCTGGGTCCCCCTTTCCCTCAGTCTTTCTTCCCTTCCCTAGTTTGCAGGCTTTTCTGCAGAGTCTCTGTGTGAACGGATCCTGGATGCCAGTTGCAGCCTTCTCATCACTGCAGGTGACTAATTTTCACCCCTTCTCCAGAAGCCCTGTACCCCAAGTCTTTGTTCCAATCAGCTAGTTGAGCTTTGGACTGCTCAATGTAGAGCAAGCATGTCAAACTCAAAGGCTAACACAGGCCAAATAAACAAGGTTTAAGTTTATGTGGGCCACAAAAAAAATAAAAGCTTCAATTTTCATAGAAACTCAGGTTTATTTCGATAGAGACATGCTGAATTCAAAGGGCTGAAATAAATGAGTAATCATTAACATAAAATAATAGAACATTTTAATAAAAATTAATATTTTTTCTTGAACATTAACTACCAGACATTGAATAACTGCACAAATTAATAAGCATAACACAAATAAACCTATTTTTCTTGTTCTCCCAAAGCAAAATATTTCCTGTTGCGCACACCAAACAAGTCAGTCAGAGACTAATGATGTGGCAATTGGTTGCTAAAATATTCGCTGCTAGTATTAGTAGAGAGAAATGGTGCGCCTGCGTGTAAGGCACGTAAGGGAAATGAATACAATATGATTATAGTAATCAGTCATTAGCGAACATTGTAGTTCGTTATTAATAATTATGTACAACAGGATATTGTAAAAATTGTTATGAAATTTTTATTAAAATGTTTCTTACATACCATTATATTGGCTGGGCCACAAAAATATTCGTTGTGGGCCGCATGCGGCCCACGGGCAGCAAGTTTGACATGCTTGATATAGAGGGTAGGGACTGCCTACTCTTTAGCTCCTGGTTCTACCTCAGCCAACCCTCTGTCAGCTCAAATCAGCTGGAAGAACCAGAGTTAAGAGGCAACTCAGGAAGGACTCTGTGAACATTGTGCTCACTATGGATAAGGGGTGAGAAGTATGGTGCCTTCCTAAGGCCTGGAATGTCTGTTGCTCCCCAAAGATGCCTTCTACAGGGGGGAAAAACTTGTGAAACTGAAGGAACTGGCTGATGAGGCCCTGGAGAAGTGTCGGGAGAAGTAAGTGTGTTTGGCCAGTTGGCTATTACTTTGGTCAATTTGGATTTTCCCCAGTGCCATGTTTCCTTTGTCTCTCCTACCCTGATGGACCTGGGTGGGCCCTACCAGATTCTCTTTTGAGCCCAACATCCTACCACTTCAGGCTTTTCTTTTCTCCAGGGGTTTCCCCGTGAGATGCTGCATTGTGGTCAAGCACCTGAGGAGGACAGAGCTGGGAACAGGTGACTCTCTCAGTCAGTCCCCCCCAATTAAGAGGCCATGTCCAGATGTGCAGGTGAGTCTGGCACTGCTAAGCCCTCTCATGGGCTCCAATTGGCTCCCTTTTCCTACCCATGAGGTTCTTGATGTCCTTCTTTACTTCCTCATTATAATGCTTGCATCTGAGAGCCATCCTAGAAATGCATCCTTGGCAGGACTAGCCGGGAGCTGAGGGCTTTGAACTTGAAAGTAGTTAGGGAGCCCCTTGCAACTTGGGACCTTAGCATGAGATATTGTGAGGGAGACTTCCATGCTGGTTGGCATGAGGGACACTCAGGGCTTGGACTTGGGTTAGAAATGGGCTGACTTGGGTGACTAAATATAATCATCTTGATTACTGGTCTGTGGCTTTGGTTGGGTTCCTGTGGGGTCCCACTATGGAAGGATCAAGATCTGGCTCTCAAGATATGGCTCTTATTAGAAAAGAAGGCAGTCAGAGGTTTGGGGCGCCCTTCCCTCTTACCCTTCCCTCTCACTTCACTATACTTGGACCCTGCTCACTATGCTTTCCATGGGCTCTTAACAGGGTAAGCTGAAAGAAAAACCCAAGTGCATCTGGCCCCAGGTATCCACCTCTGCACTGCCTTGGGCACTGCTTTCCTGCGTGCTTGTCTGTGTGTCCATTGCTTTTTGCCTGTTTGCCCCATTGAGTTGTCTGCCAGACCTAACCCTTTTCTCCCTATCCCTGGGTCCTTTGACATTTAAGTCACTTGGAAGTGTTGTAACACCAAGTGCCTGTTGCTACCGCTCTGAACTGACATAGAGCATGGATCTCAGGAAAGTAGCAACAGACAACTCATTTTTCTCCTGCAGCTCAGGACCAAGTAACCTGTCAGAAAGTTTATACTGTGCATTTAGTTGGGGCAGAGCCAGAAAGAGACAGGAGGAAGAGCAGGTAGAGGAGGTATAGCTCTTAACCTTGGGAATTCACCATCAAGCTGGGGAGTTTGATATGTATTACAAATGAAAGCCTAAGTTTTTTATAGGACAGCAGAGAAGATTCCTAAATATGTTTATATACTACTTTGGGATTTACAAATTGCACATATACTCTGATGTAATTAAGTACTTAATTGAACAAAAGTTACATTGTAGGTAGTTCTAGGAAGGGAAATCCCTAAGTGGGGAGTCAAAGCAGATTAGTATAGAGGAGAGAGTGGGTTTGGAGTCCAGAGACCAATTTTTAGCTCTATGACCTTGAATAAGTTGCCTCTGCTCTCTGGGCTTCAGTTCCCTCATCAGGAATGGAAAGATGATAGTACATGTTTAAAAGGAAACCACTTTCCTTAATAAAACAAAGGAGAAAACCCACAATTCTTCCGAGTTTTACCATCCTCATAGGGTATCTTACTCTTAATTCTGCTATGATTATAACTTCTTAGGGTAATGGTAAAAATAATCCCCCTTTTCTCTATTCTCATTAGCATGGTAGAGACCCATCTGATTCCCAGGGGACACTGTGTTCTTTTTTTATTTTTTAAATATATTTTTATTGATTTCAGAAAGGAAGGGAGAGGGAGAGAGAAATAGAAACATCAATGATGAGTGAGAATCATTGATCGGCTGCCTCCTGCACGCCCCCTACTGGGGATCAAGCCTGCAATCTGGGCATGTGCTCTTGACCGGAATCAAACCCAGGACCCTTCAGTCCGCAGACCGACGCTCTATCCACTGAGCCAAACCGGCCAGGACGACACTGTGTTCTTTTAAAACTCAGGCAGGGGCCTTGCCAGTGTGGCTCAGAGGTTGAACGTCTACCTATGAACCAGGAGATCATGGTTCGCTTTCTGGTCAGAACACATGCCTGGGCCCCCAGTAGGGATCATGCAGGAAGCAGCCAATCAATGATTCTCTCTCATTATTAATGTTTCTGTCTCCCTCTCTCTTCCTCTCTGAAATAAATTCAAACAAACAAACAAAAACCCCACCAAAAAACAAAAAAAAACTTCAGGCCGGGACCTACTAGTAAGACTTTTTCTCTTGAAGGAGGTAACAAATTTGGTAATTATAGTATAGGCTCTGGAGACAGACTACTTGGGTTCAAATCCTGGTTCTATCACCTGCTGTTATGGGAGCTTGGGCAAGTTGCATAAGCTCTTTTCCCTCAGTTTTCCCATCTGTAAAGGTGTTCAGGACATAGTAACTACTCCATAAAGGTTAGCTTTTATTAATAGCTTTGAACATAGATACACTGGCATTTCTAAGAGGGAAACCAGAAAAGAAAGAAACTCTTATAATTCTTTAATACCAGAGACCTTCAGGCCACAGACTCCTGGATTTTTGTTTCTTGGAGGTAAAGACAACCAATTACCAAAAAACCAAAGACCATAAAAATGGGCTTACTGAGAACTGCAGTCAAAGCTGCAGAATTCTTGGCAGAGCTCCAACCCCCTTCAAGGGAGGGCCTGCACAATTTGTATGTTCCCTCCTCAACTATGTCACCTTCAAACTTCCTCATGTTTCTCTCACACCTGGCAGCTTCCCTCCCTGAAACTATCCTGGTCCAAGGACAAAGGCCAACTAACTCCTCAATTTGTATTGCAGAAAATTCAAACTTTTTCCTGGTTCAAAGCTCTGGGCCCTTATAGGCACACACACCTAAAACACAGCCAATGTCTGCGGCACTAATTGAACTCACCCTACATCCTGGTGCAGATTATCAGCTCCACACCTGAAGCATGCCTCCCTCACCTTCTTACTCACATATTCACAAAGGAAGCAGTTTTATAAGATTATAAGTCCTCTCATTGCCACAGTGTAACTTACCCTTACATGTACCTAGTGCCTTTTTTTCTGACAATTCACACCAGTATTGTAGACCAGTACCATATGCCCAAAGCACTGACACACTTCTGCTTAAATACATTGACCTCATCTAAAGTAGATTGTTTGCAAGAAAAAAGTGTTCATGTGACAAGGTATGTGTAGACCCATATGGCTATTCCACTAAAAAATAGAGTGTGTTGCCCTAGCCGGTTTGGCTCAGTGGATAGACCGTTGGCCTGCGGGCCAAAGGGTCCTGGTTTAGATCTGGTCAAGGGCATGTACCTTGGTTGCAGGCTCCTCCTTGGCCTGGGCCCTGGTTAGGGCTTGTGCAGGAGGCAACCAATCGATGTGTTTCTCTCACATCGATGTTTCTCTCTACCTTTCTCTCTATCTTCCACTCTCCCTAAAAATCAATGGAAAAATATCCTCAGGTGAGGATTAACAAAAATAAAAAATAGGGTGTGTTTTTGAGCTCAATGGTAGCTTTTCTCTCCTCTTTTTCTTCTTAAAATTTTAATGGTGCCTCATTTGGCCTAGGCTTGTCATTCTTATGATGCTTATGTGCCAGAAATTTCAATTTCTGTAAACTAAGGGGCAGATAGTAAGGGGAGTGGTTGGAGATTCATTTTATAATTCATCAAAGTATGTGTAACACTTTGGGGTTTTTTAAACAAAACTAGAGGCCCGATGCACAAAATTCATGCAAGGGGCTCAGCCCTCACAGCCCCTCGCAGCCCTGTCTTCATCCGGAAGGTCGTCCGGATGGTTGTTCTGCTGTTTGGTCTAGTTAGCATATTAGCTTTTTATTATATAGGATATGCACATACCAGATTATCATATAGACATACAACAGGAGTAAGGTGTTTCTATTACAATATCATGTCTACCTGCCAGCCAGGGCCATTGAACGTAGAGGCTAATGAATATGAAAGGGCTTGTTGACAAGTAAAGCAAACCCCAAACAGTTCCCATCATCATACCCTTAAATTCATCTTCCAGAGGAGGTCAGTGGAACTGAACTAAGTTCTATCTTTCCTGATATTTATTAGTCTTCCCCACCCCCCAGGATAAACCAAGACTTGATGTTTACTAGGTAATACCTTTCTCTTTTGATGTTCCCCAAATCCTGAGAGACCACTGGGGCAAGAATGACTATCTTCATTTTATTTTTATTTTTGTTAATTCTCACCCAAGGATATTTTCCATTGATTTTTAGAGAGAGTGGAAGGGAGGGGGAGAGACAGAGAAAAAGAAATATCAATGTGAGAGAAGCACATCAACTGGTCACCTCCTGCATGCACCCCCAGGACCGGGGATTGAGCCTGCAACCGAGGTTCGTACCCTTGATTGGAATTGAACCCAGGACATTCAGTCTGCACTCTATCTACTGAGCCAAACCAGCTAGGGCAACTATCTTCATTTTAAAAAGGAGTGACAAGGTAAAGTGACTTGTGTAAGGTCATATATAGCTAGAAGTGGCAGAACTGGAATTGAAATACAGTGCAATTTTTGGACAAATTCAGGGAATCCAACTTCACTCAGCAAAGAACAGACTCAGAAAACTAGTTGTTCAAATAAATGATATAACCAGGAAAGTAAAGCAGTTTCAAGCAGAGTTTAGAAAAATTTAAGGATGACAGATCCAGAAATAGTTATCAAAGGCACTCCAGTGTAGGAGGACATCCCTCCACTAGAAGTCCACGTTGGTCCTTCTCCACCAACTTAAAGCAAGGCTTCTTGATGAATGGAACCTCAAGCAAATGTCTTTATGGAAAACTTATTGGTAGCAGTGATATAAAGGGACAGAGCAAGGGTAGGAACCTCCAAGTGGAGAATGAAGTCTGGACATGCAGGAAAAGGCACTTGGACCAAGATCTATTGACTTCTTTCACTACTAACTAACAGAACCAGATGCCTGCCTCACCTATAGGCTCTGGCTAATTTTGCATTTCTGAATTGTGTGGTGTTCGCATCCCTGCCGATGAGCTACTATTCCCATAAGTACATATGTGTGTATGCAGGTCTGTGTGTGCATATTCATCCAACAAAAATTTATTGAGTGCCTTTTGAGAACCAGGCATTTTGCTAGGTGTTGGGGACATGGGGGAAAAAAGACAGACATGCCACTGCCTTCATAGAGGTCACTATCTAGTGTAATCAAGCGAACAACTAAATAAAATAACTGGAAATATGTGCTGTGTGGGAAAGAAATATGGTGCTGTGATAAAGAATACTGGCAGGGGATGATGATGGAGTGGAAATCTACCAGATACTGTTCAGGAAAAGCCTGTCTCTCTGCTCCATTCCACCCTCCCAGGGCCCTTCCTCCTCCCCAGCACCCCACCTGCCAGTCCCACTCTGGTCTTTCCAGGTGCCATTTATCTCCTGTCCCCATTTGGCACTGTTCAAAGTTCTTTCCTGTCCTTTCCTGTCTTCCTTCTGCAGATATCCTGGAATGAGGGGGTTGACTTCTGGTGGCATGAACTCATACACGAGGCAGGGGATGAGTGTGAGCCTGAGTGGTGTGATGCCGAGGACCCGCTCTTCATCCTGTACACCAGTGGCTCCACAGGCAAACCCAAGGCAAGTGTGCGTGTGTGTGCGTGTGTATAGCATGTAATGACATAAATTTTACTCTACGACCCTGAGGTTCAGAAATGTCACATTACCTTTTTTTAAAATATATTTTTATTCATTTCAGAGAGGAAGGGAGAGGGAAAGAGAGAGATAGAAACAGCAATAATGAGAGAGAATCATTGATTGGCTGCCTCCTGCATGCCGCACACTGGGAATCAAGCTCACAACCCGGGCATGTGCCCTGACTGGGAGTCGAACCATGACCTCCTGGTTCATAAGTCAACGCTCAACCACTGAGCCACGCTGGCCGGGCTCATATTACCTTTTCTAAATCAAATTTAGACACTAGATTGTGAGGCCTAGGATGAGATAATTCACGTGGGGGCTTTCATAATGCCAAGAGGAGGAGAAAAGGATCAGTCCATGTGATTTATATTGATGTTTTTTGCCCATGCCTACATGGTTTGTTTGAAGGAGAGCTGCCTTGTCTACTCAAGGTCACAGGTAGGCACAAGGATCTCTCTTGGGCTCCTAGACTACAGCTCTTAGAGTTCAGTTTCTTCAACATGCCACACTTTAACATCTAGTTCCTCCCAGAGCACAATAAGAGCCAAAAAATACTTAAGAAAACCCTGTTCCATTGACTTGAAAGATATGTTACTCTGCCTTCCACCTACCCCATCCCTAAATTCTTTGGAATATCCCTTAATGGGCCTTTAGAAACACAGTTTTGGCCTTTCTTTCCTAGGGATGGGATATTGATAAAGTAAGAGAATAAGATTGTCTCTTCCCCCCACCACACACACACTTTCATTTTGTCAACGGGTAAATTGAGTGTGTGTGCACAAATGCACAACAGAGACACTATTATGTACTCAAAGTGATCATATGTCAGAGTGATGTGGGTAGCTCAGAAATACCATTTTAGGGTGTGGGTGTGAATGATGGACTGAATGTATATGTGTGTGAAGTGTGATATGGGAACATGGAGAAAAGGCGATAGAAGAGATGGATGCTGTGAAAGAGGTGCTGGCAGAGCCAAAATCTTTGAGGAGGATATTCCTCTAGCTCTGCCCAGCCAGCCTATATTTGGTGGTCAGTGGGGGTGAACCCAAGCCCCATCCTGAGGCCCTATTCTCCCCACAGGGTGTGGTACACACAGTTGGAGGCTACATGCTCTATGTGGCCACAACCTTCAAGTACGTGTTTGACTTCCATGCAGAGGATGTGTTCTGGTGCACAGCAGACATTGGCTGGATCACTGGCCATTCCTATGTCACCTATGGACCAATGGCTAACGGTGCCACCAGTGTTTTGGTGAGAGTGGAGCTGGGACCCATGGCTACCTGGCCTACTTAGGGGTGGACAAGATGATCCTGGGTGACTGCCTCCAATGGCTACTTGGTCTAGAGGAAGTAGGACTTACACAGTTCTTACTCAGTTCTGAGGGGATTATGAATCCTAAGTGGGAAGTTCTCTTGGCTTATCTGGTAAAGGAGTGAAGGCACGGGTTTGTCAGAAAGGGCAAAATGCTAAGTCTGAGGGTATGGTAGCGGGCTGGAGGGGACTATTGGGAAGGACCAGGAATGACCAGTCTTCACTGGGGTTAGTTTGAGGGGATCCCCACATACCCGGACGTGAGCCGCATGTGGAGTATTGTGGACAAGTACAAGGTGACCAAGTTCTACACAGCACCTACAGCTATCCGCCTGCTCATGAAGTTTGGAGATAAGCCTGTCACCAAGTGAGACCCCTCCCCAGCTGTTGCCCCATGGGTGTCCCTCAGAGTTGGGTACTGGCCTTTGTGTACAGTCTTTTCCATGCCACTGTTCTAGCTCTCTGATCTGGAATGGAAGTTGGGGGGGCGGGGTGGCAGGAGAACATGGGTATGTCTTCTGATTCCCAGTGGTACTTAGAGCCTAACTCTCTCCCCACTCCCTGCCCAAGGCATAGCCGGGCATCCTTACAGGTATTAGGCACAGTAGGAGAACCCATCAACCCTGAGGCCTGGTTGTGGTACCACCAGGTAGTAGGTGCCCAACGCTGCCCTATTGTGGACACCTTCTGGCAGACAGAGACAGTGAGTAAAGGGTCCAGAAGGTTGGGGCTCAGGGATAATATGGGAAGACTTACTCAAACCCCTGATCTCTGACTTCTACAGGGTGGCCATATGCTGACCCCCCTCCCTGGTGCAACACCCATGAAGCCTGGTTCTGCTGTGAGTGAGGCTCCTTTGGCTGGTCCTGGCTAGACAGGGGTAGAATCTTGGGGCGTTTGGCCTAGGTAGAGGGTGGAGGACTGGACTGAGATGTGTGATGAATTTGGGGCTCTGCCTCTCCTTGGGAGAGGTAGAGTTGAGTCAGAGTTGCCTCATTTCTCTCCTTGGGTCTCTTGTTTGCTTCCAGACCTTTCCATTTTTTGGTGTAGCTCCTGCAATCCTGAATGAGTCTGGGGAAGAGTTGGAAGGTGAAGCGGAAGGCTATCTGGTGAGGCCCTGGACCTTTGTGGTCTCTGAGGAGGAGTTGGGGGAAAGGGTCCACCAAGGGGTACCTTACTTTGCTTCAAAGTTTATAACCTAATCTCTCCTGGTAGCTGCTGTGATTAAAGTCCCAAACTTGAAGGTTTATCCTTTGTAGAGAGACCCTGCAGGGAATCGTTCTGGATATTTTGCCTGCCTCTCTGCCTTTTGGCCCATGAGACTCCTAAGGGCTCTGTTCAAAGATCCCTAATGGTGCCTTTTTGGGTCTGGAAGACTTAGTACCAACTTTTCCTTTAATAAACAATTCTAATGTGAAAGGAGGCTTCATAACATAGTGGGAAATCATATAGGCTCCAGAATCAACCTGCCTCAGTTCAAATCCTGGCTCTGCCTCTTCTGTGACCTCAGAAGTTAAGTTGCCTAACCCCCTGAACCTAAATTTTCTCATTTGTAAAACAGGATTCTAATAGTACCATTGTCTTCTGTAGTTGCTGGATTGATTAAATTAGATAACCCATGTGAAGAGTTTAGCACAAAACCTAACAGTCAGTGCTAGATAAATTTTAGCTGTTGTGATTTGTATTAGTACTTATATTGTCAGCCCTGACTCTCCATCCCACTTCACTTTTATTAAGAACAAGGTAGTAACAAGGGCAGCACTTGAATCCAGGTCTTCTGCCTCTTAGCCATCATCTCATCCATCTGCTGCCACAGGATGTTATTGATTGGGGCAATAATTTACTCATATGTGGGTCCCACATTTTTATACAACTGTTTTCATTTGCATCAAACTGGACCTGCTTTCCTGAGGGATTACCCAAAAGGACACTCAAATTTATTAAGTGCTTATTATAAATGGAACATTGTGCTAAGTATCTTCTACCTGCTATCAATTTAATCTTCAGATTATTTTCTCTGATTTACAGATAAGGATCCTGAAGCTCAGATAGGTAAAGTTACTTACCCAAAGTCACACAGCTAGTAAGTGGCATAGTTGGGATTCCAAGCCTGGATTGTCTATCTCTAAAGCCTGTACTTTGTCTTACATCTCAGGAATGGCATTCAGGCCATTTCTCCTTAGATTTGGCAAAGGTTTGATTGTCTTTCAGTGAGACAGTGTAACAGATCTGATCACTGTGCCTTTCTCACTCCCCAGGTGTTCAAGCAGCCCTGGCCAGGGATCATGCGCACCATCTATGGGAATCATGAACGCTTTGAGACCACTTACTTTAAGAAGTTCCCTGGGTACTACGTGACAGGAGATGGTGAGCCTTGGCTTTTCCCTACCTACACTTCCTATCAAGACATATACTTTTCCCTTTCATTTTCAGGAAGAATTGGCTAAGGGTGAAGAAACAGAGTGAGAGAGAAATGTGTCCAATGTGTCAGTGTCTAATACTGAGGCAGAGCTACAGAGCCTGTAAGAGCTGGGATGAGTACTGCAGGATGGGTCTCAGCGTGGTGCCATCTGAGATTTTTTTTTAAATGTATTTTTATTGATTTTTTTTACAGAGAGGAAGGGAGAGGGATAAAAAGTTAGAAACATCGATGAGAGAGAAACATCAATCAGCTGCTTCCTGCACACCCCCTACTGGGGATGTGCCCGCAACCAAGGTACATGCCCTTGACCGGAATCGAACCTGGGACTCTTCAGTCCGCGGGCTGACACTCTATCCCAGCCGTGGGCAAACTACGGCCCGCGGGCCGGATCCGGCCCGTTTGAAATGAATAAAACTAAAAAAAAAAAAAGACCGTACCCTTTTATGTAATGATGTTACTTTGATTTTATATTAGTTCACACAAACACTCCATCCATGCTTTTGTTCCGGCCCTCCAGTCCAGTTTAAGAACCCATTGTGGCCCTCGAGTCAAAAAGTTTGCCCACCCCTGCTCTGTCCACTGAGCCAAACCGGTTAGGGCGCCATCTGAGATTTGATGTATCAGGAAAGGTTCTTGTTGTCATTACTCCTGTGTTGAAAGAGATGGGGCATGTGACAGTATTACAATGTCATGTGTGTCCCCATATCTGGAGGCTGTGTTTGCCCATGAGTCCATCCACCATTTCATTCATCCACAGATATTTATTAAGCATTTACTATGTCCAGGTACTGATCTAAGCACAGGGGATATTACCATGAATAAGGTAGGCAAGTTCTCTGCTCTCATGGGGCTTACTTTCTATTAAAGGGATACAGACAGTAAACTTAGCAAACAAGTAAGCTAGCTTATTTTAGTGATAAGTGCTATGAAGGAAAAGTACTCTAAACAGAATAATGGGATAGAGTGTCTGCTGGCATAGTCATATATGGGATGGTGAGAGGCTTCTCTGAACTGACATTTGATCACAGACCTGAAAGGTGAGGAGGAGCCAGGCATGGGAAATCTGGAGTTAGTGTAAGTGTTCTGTGCAGACATATGCTTGAAATATCTGAGGAACAGACTGAAGCTTGTGTGGCCAGAGTGTAGTGAGCAAAGAGAAGAACGTTATATGTAGTTGGAGCGGTAGATAATATAGGGCCTTGTGGACCATGGTGAGGATTTTGATTTTATCCAATGTACAGTGGGAGACTTTTAGAGGTTTTGAGCAGAGAAGTGATGAGGACTGATTTACTGTTTAGAAAATATTTGTCTAATTTATGGAGAATAAACTTTGGGTGGGTGTACTAGTTATCTATTGTTGTGGAGCAAATTACCCCAAACTTGGCAGTTTAAAAGAACAAATAGCCCTGGCCAGTGTATTTCAGTGGTTAGAGTGTTGGCCCGCACACCAAAGGGTCTTGGGTTTGATTCCCAGTCAAGGGCACGTTCCTGGGTTGAAGGTTCCATCCCTGGCCCAGTCTGGGCACATATGGGAGGCAACCAATCGATGTGTCTCTTTCACATCGATGTTTTTGCCCCTCCCCCCCTTTCCTGAAGAATTGGTGGAGAGAATATCCTCAGGTGAGGATTAAAAACAAATAAACAAAACCCAAACAAATATATTATCTTATAAAATTTCAGAGGATCAGCAACACAGTGGCTTAGCTGGCGGTTCTTGTTCAGAGTCTCGTGGGTTACAGTCAACTTGTCCTGAATGTCTGGAGGACCCACTTCCAAGCCCACTCATGTGGCTGTTGGTGTGAATCCTCAGTTCCTTGCCACTGGGCCTCTCTATAAGCCACTCACGACATGGCAGCTGGCTTCCCCCAGAGCAAATAATCTGAGAGAACACAACCAAGATAGAAGCCACAGTGTCTTCTATAACCTAATCACAGAAATGACATCCCATCACTTCTGCCAAATTATATTGACTACACAGACTAACCCTAGTACAATGAGAAAGGACTACACAGGGGTATGAATGCCAGGAGGTGGAGATCAGTGTGACCACTTTGGAGCCTGGCTACCACAGTAGGCAAGAGTAGAAGCAGAAAGACTTGCTAGGAAGCTAGTGCAGTGGGTGTGGTGGTTTGGTAATGTGGATCATACATCCTACTGTGGGTATTTATTATGCTGTGGATTTCTTTTCTTCCCAGGTTGCCGGCGAGACCAGGATGGCTATTACTGGATCACTGGCAGGATTGATGACATGCTGAATGTATCTGGTGAGGGCCAGGGACCATTCTCCTTTCTCATTAGCCCTGATCTCTCAGCAAGTCCTAGTTAAAAGCCTTTTGAGAACCAGGATGTCCTTTGGCCAAACCATGTTTGGAGTGAAGCATTCAGTTCTGGGCCCAAGTTTTGGAGGAAGAGTGAAAACACTGGAATGTGCCTAGAGGAGAGGAACTGGAATGGTGGGGCAACTGAAACATGCCATGTGAGGAATGAATGAAGGGCTTTTCCCATTTGACTAGACCAGGTCTGTCCTGTTGGCAGATGGAGCAGGGGTAGGGGTAGGGGGTACGGGTGGAGGCCGGGATCTCTCATGGCATTTCCTTTCCCTTGACAAGGACACCTGCTGAGCACGGCAGAGGTGGAGTCAGCACTTGTGGAACATAAGGCTATCGCAGAGGCAGCCGTGGTCAGCCACCCTCATCCTGTGAAGGGCGAATGCCTCTACTGCTTTGTCACCCTGTGTGATGGCTATACCTTCAGCTCCACTCTCACCGAGGAGCTCAAGAAGCAGAGTGAGGAGCCTACCTGGGCAGACACTGGGGGGTTTGTCCTGATGTCCCAGTTATCTCAGCAGGCTGTTGAGGAAGGCTGGAGTAAGCTGTTCCCCAAACCACAAACAGGTCCCAGAGGGCTGATTGCCCTCTTTCCATTCAGTCTCCACTAGTCTCTCCACTAGGATAATGGCCGGCATTTATAGAATTCTTTCTCTGTACCATCACTGTGCTAAGTGCTTTAAATGCATATAATCACCCCCCAAATTGATCCAATTGTTACCCTCATTTTAAAGACTAAGAAATTGAGGCTCAGAGAAGTTGAATCACTTGCCCAGGGCCACACTGCTAGAAAAGTGGGATTTCAAATCTAGCAAGCTGATTCTAGAGCCTGACAGTGGATTAAGATAAATGAGATAGTAAAGAGATAATGTGCCCTAGCTGGTTTGGCTCAGTGGATAGAGTGACTAAAGGGTCGCAGGTTCGATTCCAGTCAAGGAACAAAGCTATCTTTACTTTGGTTTTGGGGAGCCTGGCTAATGATACTGAAGAAATGCCTAATGATTTGTTGTTACAGTTAGAGAAAAGATTGGCCCCATTGCCACACCGGATTACATCCAGAATGCACCTGGCTTGCCTAAAACCCGCTCAGGTATGTTCAGAGGCTGGAGGGACTTGGATTGGGATTGAGATTGACTGAGGCCCACTAGTGGTGGAATGTGTGGATGGAAGCCTTTGGCAGGGTTGGAATGGGTCATTGTAGTCACCAGGTAACCAGAAGCCTGTGGTCCCCCAGGGAAAATCATGAGGCGGGTGCTTCGGAAGATCGCTCAGAATGACCATGACCTGGGAGACATATCTACTGTGGCTGACCCATCTGTCATTAGCCAGCTCTTCAGCCACCGCTGCTTGACTGTCCAGTGAACAAGACTGCCCTTTATCCCGTACTCCCCGCTGCTTGCCTTTCCAAAGTTTTGCCCACCCTCCCTGCCCCTATCCAGGAGTGCTAAGGGCCAGGGCTGACCCACACGGAGGACCAGCTTTACCCCTGGGTGGAGGCAACTTTCTGTGACTGCCAGGAAGATAGGACAGGACCCAGGTCAGTATCAGGCTGCAGTGCTTTCAAAGAGCTCTTGGAGCCCAGAATAGGGTGAAGGTCATGTCCCTAACCCAAACTGAGTGTTCGGAAAGCAACTGAGGGCCTAGACCAGCCGTGGGCAAACTGCGGCCCGCGGGCCGGATCTGGCCCGTTTGAAATGAATAAAACTAAAAAAAAAAAAAGACCGTACCCTTTTATGTAATTATGTTTACTTTGAATTTATATTAGTTCACACAACACTCCATCCATGCTTTTGTTCCGGCCCTCCGGTCCAGTTTAAGAACCCATTGTGGCTCTCAAGTCAAAAAGTTTGCCCACCCCTGGCCTAGACTGAAGAAGCAGGTAGGCAGCTCTGTAATCCTGTCAACTCTCAGGAAGCACCAGTACTTATCTTGGGCATGCACTTACCCTTAGAAACACCTGTGTATGAGACCTGGAATAATTATTACTTTTAAAAACACTTTGCTTCTTCTGCTCTGGGTCTTTTGTGCCAGATGGCAGTGCTTGCCTGCCCATTTGCTCCAGGGGCTGTGCAAGCAGGCTGTTTCCAGATGGTTTTCAGATCATTTGCTTCTTTGCAAGAGTAAATGTGTTTTATTCCTAGGGCCAGAGGAACTTGTCTTCCTTGCCCTCTGTTCCCACCCTCATCTGAACACAGTTGTGCCCACGACAGACACTCTCAAATGAAACTCTTTTCTTGCCTTGGTTCTGCTCAAGCCCTGTGGTTGTTGGAATAAAGTCTGTGACCTCAAGAAGGTGGTGATTTGTTTTCTTAGGTATCTTATAGGCTGGATACTGGCTAGCTGCTCTGGATCTGCATGAGGATTTCAGGGGAGTGGCTTTCCCAGGATACCCAATATCCTCTTCTAAACTTTTGGT